TTTGGGGTAAATCTGGGGGGATTTGGGACCCCCGTTTTTGGGGTAAATCTGGGGGTTCCGGGGGGTTTTGGGGTCCCCCTTTTTGGGGCAAACCCGGGGGATTTGGAGGGTCCCATCCCCCCCACTCTGGGGTGACCCCAAGGGGGCCGAGGGGGTCCCCAAATTCCTGGAGCTGATCCTTGGGGTCCCCAAATTCCTGGAGTGGATCCTTGGGGTCCCCAAATTCCTGGAGCCGATCCGGGGGGTCCCCAAATTCCTGGGGTGGATCCGGGGGGTCCCCAAATTCCTGGAGCGGATCCGGGGGGTCCCCAAATTCCGGAGGCAGATCCGGTGGATCCGGGGGATCCCCAAATTCCTGGGGTGGATCCGGGGGGTCCCCAAATTCCTGGAGCGGATCCGGGGGGTCCCCAAATTCCGGAGGCAGATCCGGTGGATCCGGGGGGTCCCCAAATTCCTGGGGCGGATCCGGGGGATCCCCAAATTCCTGGGGTGGATCCGGGGGGTCCCCAAATTCCTGGAGTGGATCCTTGGGGTCCCCAAATTCCTGGAGTGGATCCGGGGGGTTCGAGAGCGCCGGGCCCGGGGGTCTGGGGGGTCCTGGGTGAGAAGAAGACACCAGAGGTTGGTCCCCACCAGCGTGGTGACCCCACCCCAAATGAACCCCAAAGGTCGGGGTGACCTCACTGACCCCAGCCCGCGGTGACGTCCCCGGTGGTGGCTCCTCCCGGGGGGTGACACCCGAGGGTGACACCGAGGCCGGGGGTGTCCCCGTCGCCGGGCAGGGTGACGCGGTGTGGGCGCCACGCGGGGACACCCGGGGGCAGAGGGTGCTGGAACAGGGGGTTGGTGTGGAAATGGGGCTCCTCGTCCTCGTCGAGCTCCTCCAGATCTTCCAGATCCTCCTCGTCTTCGTCATCGCGGGATGAGCTGCTGCGGTCGTCACGGTCGCGGTGGTTGAGGTGGTCATCGAGGTCGTGGTGGTCATGGTGGTCATGGTGGTCACTGTGGTCACTGTGGTCATTCACTCCATCATGGTCATTGTGGTCATCATGGTCGTGGTGGTCATGGTGGTCACTGTGGTCACTGTGGTCACTGTGGTCACTGTGGTCACTGTGGTCACTGTGGTCACTGTGGTCACTGTGGTCACTGTGGTCACTGTGGTCACTGTGGTCACTGTGGTCACTGTGGTCACTGTGGTCACTGTGGTCACTGTGGTCACTGTGGTCACTGTGGTCACTGTGGTCACTGTGGTCACTGTGGTCACTGTGGTCACTGTGGTCACTGTGGTCACTGTGGTCACTGTGGTCACTGTGGTCACTGTGGTCACTGTGGTCACTGTGGTCACTGTGGTCACTGTGGTCACTGTGGTCACTGTGGTCACTGTGGTCACTGTGGTCACTGTGGTCATTGTGGTCATCATGGTCGTGGTGGTCATGGTGGTCATGGTGGTCATTGTGGTCTTTGTGGTCATGGTGGTCATCACAGCCATAATGGTCATCATGGTCATGGTGGTCATGGTGGTCTTTGTGGTCATGGTGGTCATCAAGGTCATCAAGGTCATTGTGGTCATGGTGGTCATCATGGTCATCATGGTCTTGGTGGTCATGGTGGCCATCACAGTCATTGTGGACATCATGGTCGTGGTGGTCATCAAAGTCATGGTGGTCATGGTGGTCTTGGTGGTCATGGGGATCATGGTGATCATCACAGTCATCATGGTCATCACTGGCGTGGTCGTTGTCATCATCGTTATCATCCTCCTCTTCCTCCTGGCTGCGTTTGGGGCCGGGGCGTTTGGGTGGGATGGGACCATCCATGGTCATGGTCTGGGATGAGTTGGTTGAATCCGTGGACGCGTGTTCTGGTGATGCGGTCCCATCCATGGTCATGGGTTTGGGGGAGATGGGACCATCCATGGTCACGAACTTGGGTGAGATGAGACCATCCATGGTCATGGGTTTGGGGGAGATGGGACCATCCGTGGTCACGAACTTGGGTGAGATGGGACCATCCGTGGTCAGGGATTTGGGTGAGATGGGACCATCCGTGGTCAGGGATTTGGGGGAGATGGGACCATCCATGGTCAGGGATTTGGGTGAGATGGGACCATCCGTGGTCAGGGATTTGGGTGAGATGGGACCATCCATGGTCAGGGATTTGGGGGAGATGGGACCATCCGTGGTCACGGGCTCAGGTGAGACCTTCTCATCCGTGGATTTGGGTGGGATGGACCCATCAGTTCGTACCTGGGAGATGTTCTCATCCATGGACATGGACTTGGGTGGGATGGAACCATCTGTGCACACCTGGAAAATGTTCTCATCCGTGGATTTGGGTGGGATGGACCCATCAGTTTGTACCTGGAAGATGTTCCCATTCATGGCCATGGATTTGGGTGGGATGTCCTCATCCATGGACACCTGGAAGATGTCCTGAAATGTGGATCCGTGGCCCCGTTCCTCCTGGAAGGTGCTCTCATCCATGGGCATGGGTTTAGGTGGGATGGACCCATCTGTGGACACCTGGAAAATGTTCTCAGCCATGGGTTTAGGTGGGATGGACCCATCTGTGGACACCTGGAAAATGTTCTCAGCCATGGGTTTAGGTGGGATGGACCCATCTGTGGACACCTGGAAAATGTTCTCAGCCATGGGTTTAGGTGGGATGGACCCATCTGTGGACACCTGGAAAATGTTCTCAGCCATGGGTTTAGGTGGGATGGACCCATCTGTGGACACCTGGAAAATGTTCTCAGCCATGGGTTTAGGTGGGATGGACCCATCTGTGGACACCTGGAAAATGTTCTCAGCCATGGGTTTAGGTGGGATGGACCCATCTGTGGACACCTGGAAAATGTTCTCAGCCATGGGTTTAGGTGGGATGGACCCATCTGTGGACACCTGGAAAATGTTCTCAGCCATGGGTTTAGGTGGGATGGACCCATCTGTGGACACCTGGAAGATGTTCTCAAACATGGTCATGGGTTTGGGTGGGATGTCCTCATCCATGGTCGTGGGTTTGGGTGGGATGGACCCATCAGTTCGTACCTGGAAGATGTTCCCATCCATGGCCATGGATTTGGGTGGGATGTCCTTATCCATGGCCATGATTTTGGGTGGGATGTCCACACCCGTGGAGACCTGGAAGATGTCCTCAAACATGGATCCATGGCTTTGGAGGTTCTGGAAAGTGCTCCCACACATGGCCATGGGTTTGGGTGGGATGTCCTCATCTTTGGCCATGGGTTTGGGTGGGATGGACCCATCTGTGGACACCTGGAAGATGTTCTCAACCGTGGGTTTGGGTGGGATGGACCCATCAGTTCGTACCTGGAAGATGTTCTCAAACATGGTCATGGGTTTGGGTGGGATGTCCTCATCTTTGGCCATGGGTTTGGGTGGGATGGACCCATCTGTGGACACCTGGAAGATGTTCTCAAACGTGCCTTCATGGCCTTGGCGCTCCTGGGAGATGTTCCCAGCCCCATCTGGGGCGTGGTCCTGGGGGTGGTCCCAGGGGTGGTCAGCAGTGTCCTGGGCGTGGTCAGCAGTGTCCTGGGCGTGGTCAGCAGTGTCCTGGGGGTGGTCCTGAGGGTGGTCCCAGGGGTGGTCAGCAGTGTCCTGGGGGTGGTCAGCAGTGTCCTGAGGGTGGTCAGCAGTGTCCTGGGCGTGGTCAGCAGTGTCCTG